CATTTGTCTCTATAGTAAAGACAGTTGATTGGTGTCTTTGAAATCATTTGGGAGGTGCATTTCCAGTCGCAGTATTTCCGTATATTTTAGCCCCCACGCCCATTTTAAGTTTGATTTGCGCTCCTTGCACTTAAAAAAGGGAATGTAGAGAGATTGAAAGTAGACATAGCTATTTGCTTTGGGCTATAGGGGAATGTTTAATTTTTGTTATACACTAAGAGCTGCCATTCCAAGAGATTAAAAGGAACAGGAAAGTCTCACGTCTCTTTTTGCATAGTTCCGACAAGGAATAAAGTTAGGAACCTCACGTGGGTATCCAACACAAAACCTCTTTTGGACATGTTATTATGGGATGAAATGAGATGAAAGTACGCCGGGGAGGGGATTCCAGTGTCTAAGAGCTCCCCTCCAAACTGTGGATTTCTGGTGGATTTCTGGCAGCTTTCTCTGGCGTTTCTCTGCTTTTGAAGTCTGAGCTGAGACAGGAGTCGGATGCAATTGTAGCAAGCTGAGGTGCAAGCTTGCTTCTCCTTCTTGCAGAAATAAAATGCGGCGCCTTCTCAAAGCTAGTGAGATCCTGTGTTTCTGAGTAGGGAGGGAGCCATTTGGTTTCTCCTCCCTCCCGCCTGCAGCCCCCCAATAATGTACAAACTCCCCAGGCCTGCAAGTGATTTATTTCTCAGTCGGAAACACGCGTGGATTGCCTGCTGGAACCGGCGCTGTCCCCCTGCGCTTTCTTCCCGTGTAGACACAACACAAATAGATATTTGCGTTCCAGTCTGGAAGCTTTGATCAAGCGAAATGTTTGTTTGTTTGTTTTTAAAGCGACCGTCCCTATATTTGAAGTTTCCATCCGAGCCCTTTTTGGATCGACGTGGTGTCTTTTGATGTGGGGGATGGGCTGGGAATACCCCCGGCGCTGTCCCCCTGCGCTTTCTTCCCGTGTAGACACAACACAAATAGATATTTGCGTTCCAGTCTGGAAGCTTTGATCAAGCGAAATGTTTGTTTGTTTGTTTTTAAAGCGACCGTCCCTATATTTGAAGTTTCCATCCGAGCCCTTTTTGGATCGACGTGGTGTCTTTTGATGTGGGGGATGGGCTGGGAATACCCTTTTCCTCCCCCCCCCCCCCCCCTTTTCACCCCCCGCCTTTTTGCAAATGCGCCAGGTTCCCAACCCGCCGCAATAAAACCAGCTAGCCGCTGTGCGAGCCACAGAGCAGCAGGGGTTTTGGGGGGGAGCGGGGAACTGTCCCGCGGGGTCAGCTGGTGCGGTTGGGGGGTCGTTGGAGCCTTGTTGGGAGGCGCTGTGTGCGAGGCTGGGAGGTGTGATGGGTGCGGAGCGGGTGCTTTGCTCTGGACAAGTCACTGACGCAATTAAGTGGCTATAGAATGGGAACGCAGACACACAGACACAGACACACGGACACACACACCCCTGCAGGCGCGCGCACACACACACACGCAGACACACGCAGACAGAAACACACACACGCAGACACACAGACACAGACACACACACCCCTGCACGCGCGCGCACACACACACACGCAGACAGAAACACACACACGCAGACACACAGACACAGAGACACACACCCCTGCAGGCGCGCGCACACACACACACACGCAGACAGAAACACACACACGCAGACACACAGACACAGACACTCCTGCAGGTGCGTACACACACACACACACACACGCAGACAGAAACACACACACGCAGACACACAGACACAGACACACACACCCCTGCAGGTGCGCGCACCCACACACACGCAGACAGAAACACACACACGCAGACACACAGACACAGACACACACACCCCTGCAGGTGCGCGCACCCACACACACGCAGACAGAAACACACACACGCAGACACACAGACACAGAGACACACACCCCTGCAGGCGCGCGCACACACACACACACGCAGACAGAAACACACACACGCAGACACACAGACACAGAGACACACACCCCTGCAGGCGCGCGCACACACACACACACGCAGACAGAAACACACACACACACACACACTGTCTCTCTCCCCCTCCCCAGCAGCAAGCCCAAAGGAAGCGATTCGTTGTTAGCACCTCTGTGTTTCCCACCGATCCACCTCGTCTTGTTTCACACCCATCCCCTTCCTTCTCCGTTCACACCGACAGGAGCGTGTGCCTAGGTCTGGCGCTGGTGGGTGTGAGACACCTATTGGCGGAGGGTGCCCACGCCACCCCCATACCCTAAATTCCTCCCCACCCGTCTCCCCAACGCCCCTCGCTTTCTCTCCACGACCCTAGCCCCTTGCTCTCGTTGCGCTGACTTGCTGGATGGCTGCATCATGCCTGCACTGATGACTTGAATTGCGTCTCTCCGAGGCACAGAGGGTCAGTAGTCTGCCATGTGCCACGGGGCTCGCGAGTCTGCCGATGGCTTGGAACCCGAAAGCCCCCGCTCGAGAAATGTGCCCTGCAGATGCTGAGCGTGTTGAAAACCCCCAAGCAGCTTTCCAGCTCCTTTGAGGCCATAGACAGCCAGGGACTCATTTCGCTAGACCCCCGTGTTTGTAGCCTGTGCACCCCTCAGGAGCGGGTCAGCTGCCTGTTTGGGGGCACGCAGATCAGAGAACGGGGCAAATCTAGTTCAAGGTCATTATCCGTGAGTTTCATTCGCAAAAAAGGGGGCTAACATGTCCCCCAATGAACCGCCGTGCGGAGGGACTCTCGGGCGGTGTTTTACTCTGTACCAGGCATGGATTTCTTTTCGTAGTTGTTTCCGGGGAAATGGTTTTGAGTCCAAGAGAAGGAGCCACTGGTTACAGCATCTGCGTTTTCCAATGCAAGAGGGTTAGAAGTATTTACACCCTATTCATATTGTATTTACACCCTATTCATATTGTATTTACACCCTATTCATATTGTATTTACACCCTATTCATATTGTATTTACACCCTATTCATATTGTATTTACACCCTATTCATATTGTATTTACACCCTATTCATATTGTATTTACACCCTATTCATATTGTATTTACACCCTATTCATATTGTATTTACACCCTATTCATATTGTATTTACACCCTATTCATATTGTATTTACACCCTATTCATATTGTATTTACACCCTATTCATATTGTATTTACACCCTATTCATATTGTATTTACACCCTATTCATATTGTATTTACACCCTATTCATATTGTATTTACACCCTATTCATATTGTATTTACACCCTATTCATATTGTATTTACACCCTATTCATATTGTATTTACACCCTATTCATATTGTATTTACACCCTATTCATATTGTATTTACACCCTATTCATATTGTATTTACACCCTATTCATATTGTGCACAAAGCTTCTTAGTAAAAAAAAACCACCTCATTCAATTGGCTCTACCTGTCCTGGAACCATTACTGGGCGGACAGGAACGATTTTAAACAGACGAGTCGAGTTTAAACCCCCTTTCAGCTCTGCTGCTCATGAAGCGACTAAGTTTCAAAGATTAAGAAAGTCTCGTTGCTTGGATGCCCGGGGCTTTTTTCCAGCTCATAGATACAAAAGGCAGGGGGGCGAAAATGTGTGTGTGATGAAGATATGGGGACCGGCATCTATTATATAGATTTATTTGTGCGAGTTCTGCATGCGAGAAAAATCACCACAAATAGAGGAACACTCATTTTGCAAATGTCTGTGCTGTTTAGATTTACATAGATTTGAATGCTCTCCTGCCTACGTAAGGCAGGTAAAACACACACACACACACACACACACACACACACACACACACACACGCAGTTGTGCGGCTTTCCATAGTTTTATAACCCCTGTTTTCACGTAGATTCTCTAGGTGGACGGGTATAGATTGATCTCTCGTTATAAACAGACTCCGTATGGATTAGTTGTGATCTCATACCGAGGAGAGAGGCATTACAAAACGATCGGTAGTTGTACAAAGGAGAGAGATTGCAGGCAGTCCACTAGGGGCTTCGCCCTTTGGTTTGACGTGGGATACCACGGTGATGGGCGGCAGTGTAAAACGAGGCAGCTCTGGGGTATTTATCCTGAGAGATAAGCTACCTGGCTCGCTTTACTTGATGCCTGTGTTTATTATCTAGATAGAAGTAGACAGCGGGGGAGGGGGGAGTGTAGTAAACGTATCACACGTTAACCGCGACCCACAAAGCATCGCCACACGCTGCCAAGTCGGGATCACCTCGATCCCTTTCCCCCACCCTCCCCCGACGCTCTGGTCCGAATTCGCAGCCGGGCCGGATCGGGTTAACGCAGGTCGTGCGCTGATTGCACATCTGTCAGATTTTAGGCTTGGTGACGTGTGAGGAGCAGGAAAGCGGAGTGTGTGCGAGGGAAATCGATGCGCCTAGCTGTGGGCTAGGGCCGGCCAGTATCCTCTGGAGGGAGGTGCAGAGAGTCAGACTGTGCTCGTGTGTGTGTGCGTGTGTGTGTGTGTGGAGGAGACACAAAGGGAGGCTGACTGTTTGGAGCTGCAGCTATTAAAACCAGAGAGACAGAGAGAGAGATCTGATCCGTCCCTTCTCCCCCCCCCCAAAAAAAGAAACCCACAGGCAGCTGCTAATTGCTGGCGTCTGCTGCTTTGCGAGCATTTGCCTGGAGATCTCCTTGGACTACGCTGCCAGCAGACCCGCTGAAAGCTCCAGGAAGGGGGGGTCTGAAATCTTGCTGCTGATTTTCATTTCATTGTTGTCCTGGGGTTTTATTTATTTATATTTTTGCCTCTCCCCCCCCCCCCCAAAGAAACCCACAGGCAGCTGCTAATTGCTGGCGTCTGCTGCTTTGCGAGCATTTGCCTGGAGATCTCCTTGGACTACGCTGCCAGCAGACCCGCTGAAAGCTCCAGGAAGGGGGGGTCTGAAATCTTGCTGCTGATTTTCATTTCATTGTTGTCCTGGGGTTTTATTTATTTATATTTTTGCCTCTCCCCCCCCCCCCCCTGTCTTCATGAACTTTCTCACTTTGCTTGGGGATTAAAGGGAGGGGTGGGGGGATTTCTCCAGCCTCCCCCCCTTTCCCCTATACTCCTCCTCCCCCCCCTAAAAAATCCACGCTGCCTTGGGTTAGAATGTGTCTCGTTTCTGATCCGTTGGAAGGGGGCCTGTCTGTGGGCTGGGGAGCACTGATGAGTCTCCCTGGGGTTGCGAGAGGGTCCAGTGCTGCTAGCTTTCCCAGCCTGGAGACAAGATCTGGTTGCTGAATTCACAGGACTTCCCCCTTTGCCTGTGCGCCCATCCCCGCTGGCAGACGGCAGAGACCCCCCGGCAACCTGGCAAGCCCTTCCCCACACTCCAGAAGCGCAAGATTAATGAGTGGCACAGTAGATAAAGGGAGGCTGCACTAGCCTGCAGACATGAACGTCCAGCTGGGTTTGGAGACCGCCGGGGACATGTCCAGCCAGGAGCAGGAGCTGATGCACGGCCAAGGCAGAACCTTGCACTCCGCTCTGCCCAGACCGTCTCTGGTGGCCTCGGTGCTGGACGGCAGTGAGTACCACCGAGCCGAGCACCCCCTGGCCACCTCTTTGCACCCGGGGCTTGGCTTTGGCGGGGACTCGCCCAGCGGGGCCACCAACAGCTACACCACCTTGACGCCCCTGCAGCCGCTGCACGAGAAGTTCCACCACCAGCACCACCACCACCACCAGTGCTTGCCGGTGGGCAATGTGATCGGGAGCTTCACCCTCATGAGGGAAGAACGGGGCCTGGGCTCCGGCGGTAACTTTTACAGCCCGTACCACAAGGAGCTGGGCATGGGGCAGGGTCTGTCGTCCCTGCCCAGCCCCAACCTGACCCCCATGCATAGCTACAGCCACTCGGCCGGACACTTGGGCAACGAGAAGATGGTGACGGCCAACAATTTCGACGCCCACCCGGCCATGTTCGGCAGGCTGGACCAGCACTTTTCCAGGGAAATTTCCCCCTCCCAGAACTCCGGCATGGGATCCCCCAATGGCGTGGGCCCGCACCATTACATCCACGCCAGGCCGGACATGAACTCCAGACCCACCCAGCCCATCTCCACCCAAACCACCGTCCTCTCCAGCCAGCTGGAGGAGATCAACACCAAAGAAGTGGCCCAGCGGATCATCGCTGAGCTCAAGAGGTACAGCATCCCCCAGGCCATCTTTGCCGAGAGGGTGTTGTGCCGGTCGCAAGGCACCTTGTCAGACCTCCTCAGGAACCCCAAGCCTTGGAGCAAGCTGAAGTCGGGGAGGGAGACTTTCAAAAGGATGTGGCGGTGGCTGCAGGAGCCTGAGTTCCAGAGAATGGCAGCTTTAAGGTTAGAAGGTAAGATACTTTTTATGAGCATGACCAGGAACTGAGCCTGGAACAATACAGGGGTCCCCGGCCCTGCCTCTTGATTTCCACGAGCGAGCGAGAGCAAAGGTCGCGGGTGTCTCTGCTTGGCGCTGGCCAAACTGTAAGGCCCAAATGAAGCAGCGATGCAACAGTAATGACCCTCTGGGCCCGTCTGGCTTGGGAATCGGGATCACAGCTCTTGATTGGAACTTGCACTGTGTGCGCGCCATTGGGGGGGGAAGGATGCGCCGGAGGCGTTCTCTCGCCTGCATTCCCTGTATTGTTTCAGGGTCCTTTCCACATCCGCACAGGAGGCTTCATTCCTTCATCCCCCACCCCCACTCGCCTTGTGTCCGTGTTGCAGTTCAAGCAGGTTTTTCACCTCGCCCCGGAGCCTATTGCTGCGCCGTGGTGTAACTGACCGTCTTAGCCTCCCAGTCCACGCGGAGCCCTTGTTCTCCAGGGTTGGATGCCCTATTGGGAGCCAAAGCGGATGGGAGTCTTTCCGCTGCGGTCAGTGAGTTTTGGACGGGGGGCGGTGTAGGGGACAGAGAACCCTGAAGCCAGCTCCCGTTTCTGTGCCCACGTTTTTAGCGTAGGGTTAGCTGGAGGAGGAACCCCGCCGGGGAAGGATTTACAGCGCCTGCCCTTCCAGTAGAAAGCGGGGTGGCCTTTTTCACTGATCAACCCCCTTGGATTGTCTAAAGCAAGGACCAGAATTCCACACAGTGTAAATCCCATTGACTTCTGTGGAACAACCCTGATTTATGCCAGGGTCCTGGTTAGGCAAGCCAGACAGGCCCAAAGCCCGTCTATCCCAGTATTGGACTGGGGTTGGCACTGGATGCTCCAGAGGGAGGTGTAAGAAACCCTGCAGTGATGGGCCAGCCTGGCGCGGGGTCTCTCCCTCCAATAGTCTAGAGCTTGTGGTAAGTCCTGAAGCAAGAGATTCTTAATCACGTGCTTATCTTTAAGCATGCACTTAAGTCCCATTAAAATCAATGACGCTAATATCCTTTTGGGGGGGTGGGAACTTGGCTGAATCCAGGCTGGTTGAGGATTTGAGCCTTATCCTTCAAAATGAGGCTCCTAAATCCCTAACGAATGGGCCTGTTTCCCCACCTCTTCTCCTCCAACTGTTTCCATGGGAGCTCGTGGGGGTTTAGTGCGTCTGAAAACGAGTCTAGATATTGAGTGGCCTCGCTATGGATTGAGGAGCCTAACGTTTGCCCTTCGTTTTGAAAAATCTCTCTGGCCGGTGACTCTTCCCCTCCTGGCTGCGGTTCGATGAGTTTGCATGGCCGCTCGGAATGATTCTTTTTTTTCTTTCTTTCGCCTTTCTGCTTTGAGGCTCTCCCGTCCCCTTCAGAAGGGATGGTGCATTTGAAAAAGCGAGGGGGGGGAGATGAAAAGATAACGCCGATGCAAAGGACTGGCAGTATTTTAGGCTCTTGGCCTGGTCCCCATCTCTCTGAGGGCATGTCTACACAGCAGCAGCATTTCGGAGTAACTGACGTTATTCTGAAATAACAGTGCACGTCTACACAACAAGCCTTTATGCAGGAGGACGTCTCTCTCTGACTCCTGTAACCCTCGTTTCCCGAGGAGTAAGGGCAGTCGGAGGAAGAGTGCTCTACCAGCGACTTCCTGCTGTGCAGACGGCACCAAAAGCCGAGTTATGCTATTTCCACTTCAGCTGCGCAATTGACGTTGAAGTTGCGTGGCTTCATTCCACTTTAACCCTGCTGTGGAGACATGCCCTGAGTTTCCTCCCAGTGAGCCGGTTAGCGGTGGTTTTGTGTGGATGTATATTGAATGCCTTATGACAACAGCCCTCACACCCCACCCTATGACACCCCAGGGCCCTGTGATAACAGCCTTTCCTTGCTCGGTAGCTAATAATGATGCAATTATGGATCCACTGGGAAAGTAGAAACAAAATGGGGGTTTTTGTGGCAATGATACTTTGACAGCCGAGGGCTCCTTACCCTGACTTTCAATGAAATATTGTAGGAAGAGAAGGAACGGGCCTGAGTAATAAGAAACGTCAGCAAGTCCAGGGACTGAGCCATAGAGTCAAACCCCCCAGTAGCTGTTGTGAGCTTTGAATCCAGTGTGTAGTTATTTCCAAAAGGCTTCCATCTCCAGCGTACACTGTGCTTTCCATCCTCCGGCCCCTCTTGTTTTATCTTTCTCGCGGCGCAAGAAGTTTGCAGCGTTTATTCCCGCCAGGGTTCGTGGGAAAGCAAAAGGTTTCTCTTCTCTTCTCTTCTCTTCTCTTCTCTTCTCTTCTCTTCTCTTCTCTTCTCTTCTCCCTGGTTTCCTCACAAGCATGTTTATTCCTAGGGCAGGGGTCTGGGCATGGACAGCTGCGGGGGGGGAGGTCTGTATTAGCTGCACTGGGCCTTGCCTTGCCTCTGATTTCTAGCATGGACTAAGACAGCCATCGGTGTGGGGTTCTTGCCCAAGTGCCCCAGCTCTGATGTTGGCACCGCAAAGGCCAAGAGCCAAATTGAACACTGGCCAAAGCACAGCAGGGGTTGTATGGTTCTCCTGCCGGGCCACGCACAGCTCTGACTTCAATTGCGTCCCTTCCACTGCGCAAGGATGGGCAGCCAGGAATGACGCTCTCCACGAGGGTTCAGGGACAGCGAAGGGCAGAGAAGGCCCCTGCTGCACACAGCCCACGGCTGATCCCAGCAGGGGCGAATGTGTCTCCCTGTAATGTCGCTTGTGAGTGGCTGCCTCCCTCCAGGCGAGTGTTGCGTGGTCCGTTCCGTGGCCGGTGGCCCTGGTTTTCAGGCAGACACCATTGCGAGGGCCGAGTTGGGAATGTCGGCTTAGTTACAGCCAGGGAGTTAGCCGCAGCCTTGTGTTAGCAATGCAGGTTCGGCTGGGCTCAGGGGCAGGTTAGGGGCAGGTCCCTGCTTCGCTGGCTGGAAGGGTTGGCTTGGGGCTTTGGCAACTCCTACACTACCTAGACAGGGAAATTTGAAGCCCAGTAAGGTTGGCTCATTTCCACCCGGCTGGGACTGAGCTCCAAGGGGCCTGTCACCCAGAGACACCCCGGCCTGCTCTGCATGGATGAGAGACCCCACCCAGAGGAGGGGAGACTTTAAGGCCAGAAGGGATCTGTTAGAAGAGATCTTCCAGTCTCTGTCCTCCTGAACACAGCTGTGCCCTGGTCTGAAGATCTCAAGGGGTGGCTACCGCACCACTTGTCACTCTGCTGTTCATAATCAAAGCCTTTTTTCCAGCCTGGATTTGTCTGGCTTCGGCGTCCGGCCATTTGATTTCTTTCTCCCCTCTATCAGTGGTTCTCAAGCAGGGGTACATGTACCCCAGGGGTGCACAGAGGTCCTCCAGGGGGTTACAGCTGGAGATTTGCCTAGTTTTACAACCAGCTATGTATTTTACAACCTAGCGAAGTCAGTGCAATCGAAAACGGGTGGAGGTTTCAGACCCCCGCAGGAATGTCTACACTACAATTTTTAGCCCTATAGTACAAGCCTGAATCAGCTGCCCTGGACTCTGAGGAGTCCTGTGGCACCTTATAGACTAACTGAAGTGTAGGATCTGACGAAGGGGTCTTTGCCCACGAAAGCTTATGCTCCTACACTTCATTTAGTCTATCAGGTGCCACAGGACTCCTCGTCGCTTTTGCAGATTCAGACTAACACGGCTACCCCTCTGATCCTGGACTTTGAGAATCACTTCTGCTGCGGTTGGTTTGCAGTGTTGATTTGCCCTCGGTCTTTCCCCCTAAGGCATTTTTCTCCAGTTCCCAAATAATTGTTGCGGCTCTTCTCTGTACTTTATCTAAGTGTTCAGTATCCTTCATAAAACGTGGTCTCCAGAACTGGCTGCAGTAGTCCCATATCAGGGAAATCCCTTCCCTACTCACTACTTCCCTGTGTATACATCCAAGGATAACATTAGTCCTTTTTGCTATTAGTTGGTTCCACCCCAGAGGTGGCTGCTTGCTAGTGATTGGTTACATTATTATTTTTCATTATGCTGTAGCTTCTCAGAATACTAGCCAGCCCCCCACGGAGCCCAGTGCTGTGCAAACACAGAACAAAGTGAGGGACCCTGGCCCAACCCAACCCGTTCTTGTTACTTCCACTGAGAGCCATCCACCAGACCAGTGCGCAGCGGCAGTCAAAAAAGCAAACAGAATGTTAGGGATCATTGGAAAAGGGATAGAGAATAAGACAGAGAATATCGTATTGCCTCTGTGTAAAACCATGGCACGCTCACATCTGGAATACTGCGTCCAGATGTGATTGCCTCAATTCAGAAAAGATACATTGACATTGAAAAAGGTTCAGAAAAGGGCAACAAAAATGACGAGGGGTTTGGAACAGGTCCCATATGAAGAGAGATTAAAAAGACTTTTCAGTTTAGAAAAAAGGAGACTAATGGAGATATGAGGAAGGTCTATACAATCATGACAGGAATGGAGATAGTGAATAAGTAAAAGTTATTTATTTGTTCCCATAACGTAAGAACTAGGGGTCACCAAATGAAATTAATAGGTAGCAGTTTTAAAATGAACAAAAGGAAGTTTTTCTTCATGCAGCGCACTGTCAACCTGTGGAACTCCTTGCCAGAGGATGTTGTGAAGACCAGGACTTTAACAGGGTTCAAAAAAGAGCTAGATAGATTCATGGAGGTTAGGTCCATCAATACTTATTGGCCAGGATGGGTAGGAATGTTGTCCCTCGCCTCTGTTTGTCAGGGGAGGGATCACTTGATGATTACATGATTCTGTTCACTCCCTCTGGGGCATCTGGCATTGGCCACTGTTGGCAGACAGGATACTGGGCTGGATGGACCTTTGGTCTGACCCAGTGTGACCGTTATTATGTTCTTGTGCTTTGGGCTCGGAATTTGAGTTGGCCCACAGAATGTGGGAGACAGAAAGGACCCACAAAAGCAACCAACGAGTCCAACGACAAAAGACTAGCCAATGTATTAAGGCGTAA